CAAAGTTCCCACTTTGTGAACCAACCCTGCCTCCTGGTGATCTTGCCCTATCTAGTGCAGCTGGATTCTGGTAAGAGCTTCAGTCGCAGCAGTGGGAGCTGAGGGATGAGCAGGGTGGGGGAGCTGCAGGCAGGCGTGGCCTGCAGTTTGGCCTGGGCTCAGCAGTGTCTGCTGTGGACATTCCTGCGACTGTGATCCCAACATAAGTTTGCCTGGAACAGAACAGCGGTGGATGCTCTTCCGTCCTGTTTTCCTAAACCTCAGCAGCACCTTTCCTGGCTGCTCCAACCCCAACCCCAACCCCATCTTCGTCTTGGGAATCTGTGCAGCAGTGGCAGAGCTGGAAACTGTCCCACCCTCAAGAGCTTCCCCGCTCTGGGGTGGCTGTCCCTGTTAGTAGATTTAATGTGGGGAAAACCAAAGGCAAGTCACGCTGTGGGGTAGGTGCGGCCAGGTGTTCCCGGGAGAAGCTCGGGTCCAACAGGAGGCAAAATGGTCTCCCATACACACTTTATTTAAAGTCGGTTCTAAATTTCTACTAGGATTTGATGAGAATTTCACTAAACCTGTATCTTTGGGAGAAGTCCTATCCTTATTATGTGGAACCTTCTGATCTTGCAACATAATCTACAGTGTATCCATTTTTAATTTTCTCTCTCATCGGCATTTTGTAGTCTTCAGTATACAGATTTTGACGTATTTTGTAAGCTTTATGTTTTGGAAGTTTGTCAGAACTTGTTTTAAGATTCAACATGATGTATTTTAGAAATTTTCTATGTGTCATGAAAATACATATATTCATTCTTCAGTTCTTAGATGGATTTTTTTCCTTCTAGTATCAGTGATTAAACCCAGGGCCTTCATATTGAGCTACATTTCCAACGCTTTTTAAATTTTTTGAGATAGAATCTCACTAAGTTTCTTATGCAGGGTTCAGATTTGCGATCCTCCTGCCTCAGCCTCTCAGAGTTCTGGGATTATAGGTATGTATCACACCTGCCTCCTTTTGATGCTATATGCATATCACTAAGAGATGGAAAAGTAGATGGCTATAGATTTGTCTAGTTCTCACACTGAGTCTCAATTATTTTGTTCCTTTTAGGTTTTTGAGGCTATGATTAATTAGGGTACACATCGCTGTATCTTCCTGACCATATGATCCTATAAGTCAATGTTTATGTAATATATACGTGTATGTGCATGCACGCATACACACACACACATATGGCTTCTACATGAATATACATTGCATTTTTATCCAGTTTGAAAACAATGCTTTACTTGGGAGTATTTGGTTGACATTTAAGGTAGCACTGATGTACTTGGGCTTACGTGTACCACACTACTCTTGGGTATTCCCTTTACTCTTGGTTTGGATCTGAGTGTGTTCTACTCCTTTTCTAGTTTCTTGGTGTGGAGCATGACTCGTTGATTTGTGACATTTCTTCTTACTGTGGATACCAAGTAGTACTCGTTTCCTTCTAAAAACGGCTTTGGCTGCAGCCCACGGATTGTTGTGTTCTACTTTCACTTTCATTCAGCTATGAAGATTTTCCGAATTTTCCATGGGATGTCATCTATTATTTAAAAGCATGTGAATTAACTTCCAAAGGACAGGAACTATCCTGGTACCTTCGTTAGTTCTCTCGTGAGTGGGAAATGCACTTCGCACGGCTTGTCATTTGATGTTCCTTGAGACTTGCCGTCTGCAGAGCACGGTAACCACTGGTGAACGTCCCCGGATTGGTGGGAGGTGTGCACCAGCTGGCTGATGGTGCGTGGCTCTTCCACTTCTTTGCTAGGCTTTGTTTTGCTTTTTAAAGCCATGCACACTTTAAGCACAGAGACCTCTCCAAATGTCATCTAAAGACCACTTCATCCACTGCTGTTAGGCCGCCAGCCTCTTCTCCCTCTTCAGCAATGGTGAGGCAGATTCCTTTTCCTCGAGGAAGAGAAATCCACGGCTTGTTGCCCTTGCCAATAACAAAAATTTTGGAGAGCCGAGTAGCCAAGCTGTTGCCATTGGCATCTTTCACGTGAACCACAAAGAGCCAAGATGCTTCTCCCTGTTGGTTTTATTTGCCGTTTGTCACTGTGAGGAGTGAAGTCCTTGACCACATCTGTTTCTTTTCCTTCAGTTGTCACTTCTGCTGTTACTGTTTTGCCTTTTCAGTGACATAACCCTTTGTCCACACTCTGTCCTGCTGTCCCTGGTCACCGCTTGTTCCAAAGCCTTTCCCGATACCAGTGTATCCATTCTAGCTGCCTGTGTGCCTGGCGTGAGCCACATTCATGTGACTGTAACGGTACCTGGAATAATCAGCCACTGAGGGAGGGGGCACTGCGGCGTTGGCCTGCAGCTTCAGGCCTCTGCTGGGGCTGAGGGCAGCACAGGTATCCCCTCCCGAGCCCTGGAGGACACCCCCATGACCTGTGACCTCCCACTAGGCCCCTCTCCTGAAGGCTGCCCCACCTCCCAGCGGCACTGTTCTGGGTGGACTGGAGTACGCCTGTCTCCACCTTTTCACATGGCCAGCAGCCTCTTCTGGACAGTATACTACTGGGCCACTGGAAAAACCTCCCACTTGTGCTGATGCGATTCCCGGTACATAGGGCTCTGTCCGCCTTTAGCTGATCTACATCCCTGGGGCTTTCACTTCCTTATTTTCCCATTTCCTGCTTTTTATGCTATTTGGGCATGTTTAGTATTGCAATTTATCTGTTCTTTTTACTGTATCTTTCTGTGTAAACACTTGGCTCTACACAGGCCGCTTGTAGCCAGTATCCACCCTTTCGGGGTGCGGGAGCCCCAGAACTCTCGCCTTGCTGTCGTCTTTCCCTTTCTCCCAGGCACAGGACGCTGTGCTGTACCCTTCACAGCACTGCTTTCCCGTGCTTCCTCTCGCTGCAGGCTCCTTTCCCACAGAACTTCCTCCGGCAGCTCCTCGGGTGCAGGTCTGCAGGGTTAGTTCCCCTGATGTGCAGGTTCTTCGCCTCACCTCCAATCCTGACTGGCATCGTGCACTGGGTGGTTCCTGAATCGTCTGTCAGATGTGGGACCCCAGTGTGCTCCGTGTGCCTCATTCGGCGCGGGGTGACCCCGGGCTGGCACACAGGGCCCCGTGTGCTGGGTGTGGCAGGGTGGGGCGTGACCGCTGCTTCTCCCTCCCACCCCTCACAGGTCACCTCCAGTGAGCAGCACCGGGTGCGCCTCGAGCAAGCCGACACCCTCCAGTGGGTGCTGGAGCGGCTGGCCCAGGCTGAGGGGTACGTGGGGCCCAGGCTGGGGGGATGAGAGACCTGGGCTGAGGGGCAACCTCAGTGGGGGTGCACAGGCTGGGGTGTATGTGGGGTGCAGCACTCGCCACCCCTTGCCCTGCCCCACCTCCTCCCAGGTCAGGACCTTCCCGCCACCCCTGCCCTGACACTGCACGCAGGAGGGAGCTCGGGCTCCCCCGCCACCTCAGGGGGCCCTGGAGGTTGGTGATCTGGAGGGGCAGAGGCAGCACACAGGCACCCAAGAGGCTGAGACAGGATTTGCCAGCAACTCCTGGAACCAGGGCTGAGTGCCAGGTGCCCAGCAACTAGGGCGGGTGGAAGGGGGGACAGCGGGAGGCTCAGCTGCTCCCAGGACTGTGGGCCCGAGTCCCATGCCAACGGGAGTGACGGGGCTCCTCGCCTGCTTGGCATCCTGCGGGTGGTGGAGTTCCTGCCACCACAGGCCTAGGATGCAGAGCAGGATGCGGGCCTGGCTTGTCATACCTCCAGGTCACTGCGATTTGCCCGCCGCTCAGCTGGCTTGGCACAGGCGTGAATGTGGCTCACTTTCCTGGGCTCTGGCGGCCAGCGTTGCGACCCCAGGTCTGTGTCGGCCTGGAGACAGCTCATGGAGCAGTTCTGCCCCACTCGCGCCGCTAAGTGGCCATCTGGTCTCTCCACAGCTCACCCGACAAAGGTGTGGTGGCGTCCCTGGCCCTGGACATCCTCCGCAGCCTGGGCTCCCTGCAGGAAGGCACTTAGCCAGCTCTCAGCGATGGTACCTGGGCCTTGGCCTAGCTGCAGGCTGTCTGGAACTAATAAAGTCGGGGCACTTGCACGGCTTGGGCGTTGTCTCTAACTCTGGGCCTGGGAAACCACTCTGGGAAGGCCAGGTGTCCCGGTCGCCCTCCCGCAGCTCCCCTCTCTGGCTGGGCCCTGTGGAGCAGGACATGGGACACAGGGCTCCTTCCTTCCCAAACCTTGCTGCCCACCTGGATGGCACAGGACAAGGCCCTGCCTGGAGGGGTGACAGGACGGCTGCCACCACACACTCAGCCCATGGAAGCGGGCTCCACGCCCAGTCCCACATGGGGAGGACTCCGTGCTTCAGGAGGCGTCACACGTGCCTGGTCCCCCTCCTGGCTCCAGATCTGCGAGGTGCTCCGGAATGGGGGGGAAGTGCGTGGACTGGGCCAGCCAGGCCTGCAGGCTTCGGAGGGAGGCAGAGGGCAGAGGGGCGTCCACAGCTTGGCTTGCTCCACCCCAGGCTGGCTAGGGAGCCCGGCACCACCACTCTGCCCTCCGCTCATGGAGTCTTGGCCTTCAGAGTGCTCCAGGCTCCTTGCAGCTGGGCGGTCGCAGTGGGCTGGGGAGCATGGGTCTGGCCTGCACTGAGCAGCGCTGTGCTGCATGGGTGTGGTGTGCTGGATCTGCTCAGGGCCCTCACACACAGGAGACAAGGCAGAGAAGGTGACGCCATCTAATGAATTAAAAGTTTAATTCGGAACCATTTTTATAACCGTATTTTCTCTTAAGCATCGTATCACGGCAGGTTACAACAACTTTGGGATAAAAGGCAACTGGTAAACTGTCCAAAACAAGGTTCCAAGTAACGCCTCTCACTGATTACCCTACCCACACATATCCCAAATAAAGTTTCTGATCAAAAACATGAAATAGATCCACCTGCTTATCTTCAGCATATTAAAAAGGAAACTAATTGGACCATTTCTATTTGTCTATTTTATACAAAAAGGCTACACAATGTTACACTTTCTCAGATTACAATTAGAGTGATTATGAATTAGTGTTCTACACCATTACTCAATTTTTAAAAATTAGAAATCGCTGCAGCAGTATTCACTAGAACATAACGCTACAAGAGACTTAAAAACTAACAGTTACTGCAAAAGAAAAAAAAAAGGAAATTAAACGGCTACTTCAAAGCAAGCAAAGTCAGTACCATTACAGATATTTAAAAAAAACAAAACAAAACAAAACTTTTTAACAAGCAAGGCTAGGGTTTGATAAATTCCATCTTGTGATCCATTCTTGTGCATTCTTCACTTCTCGAGTCACTCCCCAAATCCATATGTATTGTTACTCCTCGACCGAAAAGGACCAGAACAAAAGTTTACTTCAAGTGTTCCCATAGGAAACTCTGCGTGGTTAGTGTGTCAGGCACTTTCTGAGACCAGCCCACCCTCGAGCCCTCCGCCACTCCACAGGCCAATCACAACCAAGTTCAGACAACACAGCTGTACAGAGGCTGCTATTAATATTCAACAGCACATGGTACTCATTGGAGTATTAAGTTGCAAAAGCTGTGGCAAAAAAACATTAAAGTTAATAACTTCCAAACACATGATCACAGAACACCCCAAAATCCAAGAACATTCACATGTCCCAAGACATCTCCTCGCCAAGCCCAGCTGTCTTTGAAGCAGGTTTACAGATAGGCCCTAGCCACTCCCACCCTACAACCAAGTCTCGCTCAAGTTCTGTAGGCAGAGCAAAACTTACCCAACTGGCTTTTTTATCTTCTTACCTAAAGGAGGTTACAGGTCAGTGTCAAACCAGGCCAGCTGATTGCTGTCACCTGGCGGCAGCCCGTCCATGAGGTCCTGGGCATGGCCCAGGTCCGGCAGCCCATCCACTGGGTAGTCGGCCCCAGGGTGGTGGCCGCCCATCTCGTGCTCCATCATGGGGTCCATGCCCAAGGCATCCTGGCCATAGCCACCGGCGTGGAAGGAGCGGTAGCTGGGGTCTGGGAAGGGGCAGGGCGGATCAGAGCAGGCAGAGGGGAGACAGACACCCCCAAGTCAGCGCCGGAGGCCTCCGGCTCCTTCCACTTGCAGCCCGCCTCGGCCAAGCAGGGACACCAGCCCAGGCCACCCGGAGACTGCAGACAGCCCTACCAGCTCTCTGCCTGCACACACTGGGGCACCCAGAGGGACACAACAAGCAGCAGGGCTCTATAGCCGACCCCAGGCTCCGAAGTCGGGGAAGGGATGGACTAGGTCTGGCAGCTGGGATCTGCTTACTAGGAAGCCAGAACAGCATTTCCAAGAGACCTTCCCCTGCGTCCTCTCAGGGCGGATGCTGTCACCTAAGAAGCCTGTGAGCCCCAGATCTGGCTCTGGAAACCCTGTGAGCACAGCCATGTGAGTACCGGCCTGCTGCAGGCCCAGGCAGGCCCACAGGGCACGTGTGCAGTGCTTGGGTGGGTGGTGGTGGGGGTGGCTTGGTGCTCCCTGTGCTCCCGGTGCTAGTGACACCACTGTGGACTCTGGGACTGCAGGACTGCAGCCTGCTTTCCTGCCAGCACTGCTTCCCCAGGTGAGTAACAGCCCCACTGACAAGGTTCTGCGAGCTGAGCCTCCAGGGAAACAGGAGAACGTACCATCCTGGCGATATCCAAGGGGTTCTCCCTGGGCACCAATATCAAGTCCAAGATCAGCAGTCTGGAGAGACCGGTGTGAGGCAGGAAGAACACAAGGCACAATGAGGCTTCTCAAGTGAAGGAGGGGCAAAGGGGACTGAAAACTCAAACCTTACAGAACTGCAAAGTACCTCAAGATGGTAACATGTTTTCTTTGCACAATGTATGAAAGAGTAGTTACTAATTTACCCTTTCAACACAGGCTGAGCATCTACTATGTGCTGAACACTGCTCTAGACACTGGGAACAGAGGAGAAAACCCCGGGCTGTGTGGGAGGTGGGATCCACAGCAAGCGCCGGTGGGGACCAGTCCTCAGATGCTGGCCACATCCCCCTGTTGGGCAACCTGAGCTCCGCAAATGTCCCCTGTTCAGTAGACAGATACAACCCACCAGGTGACTGGCGGCATTGGTAAAAGAACCTCCAAGGTGCTTTTAATTCTAGTTATTAGAAACAGTGGTTCAACAAAAAAATTCCTAACAGACATTCAAGTAGAAAAATTCGTGAAAGTTGGATTTATTTTTATCCTGGTACCAGGGATCAAAATCAGGTCCTCCCACTTGCCAGGCAGGCACAGCACCACTGAGCTATACCCCAGGCCCCTCCCTGGATGTGTTTTTCCAACAAAGTAGCAATAACCTGATCCCTGACTGGCAGGGGCTCGGGCTCATTCCCACCCCCAGGGGTCAGGCCAGGGCTCGCTGCCACCTACCTCGTTCCAAGCCATGGGCTCTGTCCTGAAGAGGGAGCTGGTCAGCTCCACAGAGAGCCGCTTTTTGTAGTCCTGCGGCTTGTCCTCAGACATCCGGAAAAGCACGGCGGCTGCATATGTGGCTGGGAGGCAGGGAGGCGGGTGTGAGCACAGCAGGGCTGGCCGTGCCTTGCACCTGCATGCCTTGTGCCCCACTCACCCACGCCTTCGTTCCTCGAGTGCAGCAGCTCCGTCAGAGGTGCCGTGGCCCCCTCGGCCTCGATGGCCTCTGCAGCCTCCTTGTCCTGGGCGAGCTCACAGAGGACCCCCGCGGCGACTCTCTGGATGTTCTCAATAGGGGAGTAGAGCAGCTGGGGAGAAACCACAAACACTGCATTAGCACCCGTGGCCCTACCAGGTCCTCGGTGTGGGGCCTCCTCAGAGGCCGAGGTTTCAATCAAAGATTCAGAAATCAAGAGCTGGTTCGGGCCTGTGCTTTCCCCACACTTCCCGGGGCTCTAGTCACAGTGATTCTCCTGACCAAGAAAAACAAGGGACACTTGCATGAAATTGTATGACTGCCTCTGGTTTTGAATTTCTGGAAATTTCATGGCCACATCAAATCCGGGAGACCCCACTCAGACCCAACACACCTGCACAAACAGTGGAATGGTGTTGAGTCCTCGGATGACAATTCGGTTGTGAACGTCCCGAGCAAGGATGTGCAGGGCTCCAGTACAACCTTCAACGATCTCTTCCATGCGGACCCCCTCCTGCGGGAGAAATGCAGTTGAAGGTGGCACAGCTGTCCACACCGGCTGCGCAAAGGCCACCCAGGAACCAGCCCCACAGCCACAGGCCCGACTGCCTAGATCGGAAATGTGGACAGAACACGAGCCCTTCAGAGATGAGGACACGGGAGATACTGGGCCGCAGCTTTCCTACACCTCTGCTCCAGGACGGACTACTTGTGACAATGGCTCCGCCGTCCTGGGTCCGGGCTGTGTCACTGCACAGACGGGCAGGCGGCAGCACCGAGTCGGCGCTTCCTGGCCTGCTTCCGAGGACCCTCCTGGCGCACAAACCTACGTGTTACCTGGGAGAACTGGCTGCTGAAACTGCCAAAGCCACTGCTCACCACAGCCAGGACCACTGTGCTGGGGCAGCACAGGAGAGGGAGTTAACTTTTGCAAAACAACATCTGAGTTTAAGAAGCTATAATTCTGCTACTTTTAATGGCTTTTATAAGCAGCTCCCTTTTTATGAGAACATAAAAACTCCTTTCTTCTTAGAAGCCTGCTGGAACAAAGGGTACTCCCTGAATTTTATTTATTCACATTACCAAGATGCGCCACAACACAGTACAGTAAAGGGAGGAAGAAAACCCTGGCGGGGCGACCAGCAGTACAGGGTTCCCAGGGTCTGTTGTGGGAGGGTTTGGCTGTTTTCTAAAGTAACCTAACTAAATATAACTTTCTGAATCTTGGTATCAAACCTTTAAGCCAAGGAACATTATAGCTAAAGAATCCAGAAATGCCCCTACTGTCAGTACTGGATTCTTAGACCCTACAACTTTAGACTTCCCAGGGCACAGACAGCTAAAAGGCAAACTTGCAGGCAATGCTCAGCTTGCAGCGGGGATAAGCAGCTCTGAAACCAGACAGCCCTGGACTCACACTCCCCCGCTCGCTGTGTAAGGCTGACCACACCAAACGCACTCTTCCGTACCCCTCTGCTCTAGGTTTTCTAAGCCCCAGTGCTGAGGAGGGGTCAGCGTCCTGATTCAGGCCTTCCTCTAGGGTCGCCTCAGGTCTACCTACCACAAACTGCTGCTGCGTCCCGCCCATGGACGTGCGACGCTGGGTGTCCTGGTGTGCGCGCACAAGCAGCTGGACCAGGCGTGGAATAGCACCCTGCTCTCGCAGAGGCGCATGATTTGCTGGACAAAGGGCAAGATTGCGAATCAATCCGACAGTAGCCTGAAGACAAAGAGGGAGAATCGGTACACAGCTCAGCACCATTATTTGATTAGCCCCAAGTCCCCACTGCATCTGCGTCCTCCGGGACCCCACCCACACCACAGCCCTGCAGAGGGACGGGCGCCCCCACAACACACCTTTATTAGAGGCCAATGGGATGGTGGGTGCAGGAGCTTAACCACAACCGGGAGGCCATAGTGCAGGCGAACAGCATTCTGGGCCATCTCTGCCTCCTGGTGCCGGCTGGTTAGATGGCGCAGAGCACAGATGGCTGGCTCGGTGATGTCCTCCCTGTCCCCGGCACGCAGGACGGTGCGCACCAGAGCCTCTATCCCGCCCACCTGGCACACCATCATCTTGTTCTTGTAGTTGTTGCAAGTGAGGTTAGAGAGGATCCCGGCGGCACAGGTGACCACATTGATGTCATCGGAGCCCAGCAGCTGGACGAGCGTGCCCAGGAGACCCTCCATCCCTTCCTGTGGAGGGGCAGGCGCTAGCAGGAAGCTCACCCAGGCCCGTGGCCCAGGCCCCATCTCCCCCAACTATTACCTGCTTAGTTGCGGCGTCTGAGAGGTTCCTCAGTGTCCAGAGACAGTTCTGGACGAGGCGCTGGCTCGGGTCTGTCAGGTGCAGCCCTAAGGCCTGCATCCCACCTACACAACAAGGCCTACATGAGGAAAGGCCAGCGGCAGGCTCAGGCTGCTCCTCCTCCAGAGCGAGTGCAGCTCCACTTCAAGGCCATCTGCTCTCCCCTCTGGTCCTTACTGCTCTGCTTTCTAGGTGATGCTGAGTTCATTCCAGCTCACCTCGAGAGTGACCGCCTCTAACAGCTACTATGGCTCGGCTCTTTCTATTCCCTCTCTCCCCCTGCAGGTGCTGATGACAGTTCCTAAAGTATTTTAAAGTATTTCCTCAGGACTACACCTTTTGTTCTGAGCTGGAGATGTGGGATTCTAGAAGAGCCAGATGCCAAACAAACACGGAATTAATAAATTCAAACCACACGATATGCTAGATGGTTCTGAGTGTACAGAGGAAAATAACGCGAGACGTGGGCGGGCAAGGGGATCACCGCACCATGGAATGAAGTGCTGGGGAAGAACCTGCGCCAGGCGGCACTGGACACTGCCTGCAAGGACCGCATGAGGCGATCGACAAGCCGGGGCATTGGTGCACACTGAAGCAGGACGGACTGCTTCATCTCAGGGGTTCAAGGTGGGAACCAGTCTCAACACAAGAGGAAAAGTCACTGACTCCCAAACAGCCCCCAAGATTACACTTTTCATCTCTGGCTAAGGAATAAAAATGAAAGCCAAACCCTGCTCTCCCCACAACTAAAACCACCCCTCCTGCTACCTGCCTGTTTGTCCTTCAGGTCTGCTTTGCTCTCACGCCCGGGGAGTCTCCTGCCACACCATGAACTTCTTCAGGGTGCTCATTCCCATGGCAACTGCCCCACTCCTTCCTGGCCACAGCTCCAGAGACAGACAGGCTCTGTGTGCCACGTGTTGGATCGCTTCTCCCCGGCTTCCTTCCCCACCCTCCCACGGGGCTGTGCTTCACAACAGCCACTCCGACTCAGCAGGCTGAGGGCTCGGGGCCCATGCAGATGACTGTCCCCTCCACAGGCCCTCACTGTACCCCCATGACCCCCACACACCGTGGCACACTCTGCCAGCAGTCTACTGGCCCCGAGTCTCCTCACCAGGCCCACGTTCTGAAGCACAATGACAGCTCCATGCGCTACCAGTGATGCCCCTGCATCACTGTGTCCCGTGATTCTTTCAGAAGCTTCGAGCATTTGTCATCTGCGGTGCATTCCTAAAGCCAAGCTTTCATTCCTTGAAGTTGGAACAGGTCACAAGTCCGGTCCTTCAAACTGCTCTGTGATACATAACATTCCAAGTGCGCCACCAAGACTGACCATGCCACTGCCACTGCTGGCCAGGGCCTCTCCCCAAATTCTCTGGCACAACTGTGAAGAACCCTAACTCTTCTAAACTGAAAAAAGCATACGTAATAAACCAACATCAAAATAACCTGGGGACATCTTACAATCAAGACCCCTACGCTTCCAAGCTCATACATTTCCAGCTATCTAGAGACTTTGTTGTTTCAAATAATTTAGCTTCCTAAAAAATACTGGAGCTTCTGACTACGAGAACTACAGGTACTTGTGGAATAGCTGCCCAAACCGACATCCTCTCCTTCTGTGTAAACCCAGCCACACCAGACTACCCCAAGCTGATGGTTTCACCGTCAGCAGCTACTTCAAGTGACCCCATAAATTCTCCGCTCCAGCAGCCTCTTCTACCAAGTGCCACACACCTCCCTCTGCAGCTGTGGCCTGAGGCCGGCCCTCAGCATCTAGGTAGAAGCTAGCAGGCGGGTTACTGCAGGAGAAGGGATACCAGGTGGCAGGGAGCCTTTGTGCCCACAAACATACAGCATCAACTACCACGGGCAAGCGTATGAGAAAAGCAACTCAGAGGAAACAGAAAAAACTGTTTTCCACATTAGACCATCTATCTACTCACTGAGAATTGGAACACCAACACCAGATAATCCTCACCCATGTCTCACAAGAAAATCACTTAACCACACAAACTGTACTTTATTAAAATCTGTCATCTTCCCTGCCCTGTGTATTTCCAGGTTTGTCGGCAAAAAGCAAATAAATCAACCTTGGTATTACCTCTGAAGGATTAAAGCTGCCTAAGTTATCCCTCAATGGCACCACCCTTGTGTGACAGATGGACCCTTGGGATGTGCCCCAGCTGTGCCTTCTCTACCCCAGTGCGACTGCCACACTCACCAGCCTCCACGATGGCCGGCTTGTTACTGGAGCAGACGGACAGCACCTTCAGCACCCTGCTCGTGGTCCACAGCAGTTTCTCGTAGGTGTAGGTCCTCATTATGTTCACTAAGGCCTGGGGCCCACCACTGGCCAGGATGATCAGCTGGAGAGAGGGGTGGGCACTATTAGTCATGGATCTGGCACCAATGCCTAGGAAAAGCCCAATCACTGCTTTTTCTATTACATAAGAACCTGGCCAGCTGACCACTGGGCAGTGCCACCCAAGACAGCAACTCTGCCCCAGCTTCCTCCTCCCCATACTGACCAAAGCAAAAGAAGGGGAAAATGGCAGGTGACAGTAATGGAAGTTGTACCATAACTGAGTCACTCCAAGTTTTAACCCCAAATTCCTACTCACTTGACTGATTTTCCCGATCACAGCTACCCTAAAAAGATGCAGCAGGGCCCTCACACTTGTGCTTTCCTCCCCTCTGCCCTTCACCTGCCCTTGTCCCCACTGGAAATGGGTCCCCCTGTGGCTGGGCTTGGCCATCCCAACAGCCTCGCCATCGGAAAGCTGGCCCTCTCCCAACAGCTCGCCATGCCCCCCCACTCTCCCCTACCCACTGCTCAGGCTGACTGAACTGCTGCGTCTCTAGTGTTCAGCCAGTGCTTTTCACACACACGCTCAAATGCATAGAGACAGTGTGCCTCACTTGTCTAGGGGCCACACAAAGGGAGAGACACCCCAAGTCAGCAAGAGTCCAGGGTTTGAGAGGACACTGGGGGCGGGGGTCCTCCGGTGCACCATGAAAATCACATAAAGAACAACTGTTTTACCTTGCTTTCCTGATTGCCATAAGCTAAAATCTGAAGGCAGTCTGTTGTAATAGCCAAGAATTTAACATTTGTTTTATTGAGCAGTGCAACCATTTTCTGCAGGCCACCAGCTAAACGCACTGCCATTTTAGCTCCTTCTTGATGTAACAGAAGGTTGTGAAGAGTTGTAATGGCGTAAAACAACACTGAATCCACTGGTGAGCTGAAGACAGAAAAGCCTCGTCAGAAAGCTGTGGCTGACTTCTGCCTCCAAGCTTCCCGCACCGACCGTGTCCTTACCCCAGCATTTTCACCAGCGCAGGGATGCCACCAGACTTAAAGATGGCCAGCAAGCCCTCGCGATGGTGGGAGAGGTTATGCAAGGTCCCGGCAGTGCAGCGCGCAGTCTCCACGTCATTCGTGTTCTGCATGGTGCGCACGATAGCAGACACCATCTGAGGAGAGCGCATGATGGCGTGTCTGGAGGCCTCCTTTTTGGAGAGCTGGTGGACCATCACCGCAGCCTTATTGACCACCACCTGTGACCAGGAATCAGACATCAGCGGTCTCCATGGCAGCCTCTGGGTGGGCGGTGCCACTCGCCCCTTCAGTGCAGACCAGAGCCAGTGGTGCCACCGCTTACCTGGTCTTCGTCATTGAGCAGCTTTGTGAGTTCAGGGATGGCGCGTGTGGCGAGCTCTGCATCATCCTGGTAGTTGATCAGGTTTACAACAGCGTGCTTAAGCATCTGGGACGGTTCGGCCAAACGCTGGACGTTGGTGGGGTGAGCGGCGTCAAACTGTGTGGAGGGGATCTGCATGCCCTCATCCAGTGTCTCCGGGAACATGGCGGCGCGCACCCGCTGAGCGCGCGTCATCGCGTACTGCCCGTCAATGTCTGGGGAGCCAAGTGAGCACTCAACACCTCAGTTCCGGCACCGCCTGAGACACTGCCCAGCCGACACCCACACCGCGCTAGCCCCCTCCCACAGCCTCGTTGCCTAATCCGACACACACACACACACGCACGCGCACGCACGCGCACGCGCACGCGCACGCCCTCTCCCGGGCATGGCCACTTTACCAGCCACTTGCTCCTGAGTGAAGGACTGGGAGAATCCCTGCTCCCATTCGTACAGGACCTGGGAGGTGTCCACATCCTCCTCCTCGGGGTTGCCCTTGCCGCTCAGAGAAGGTGCTGTGGTGGTGGCCCCAGAGTGGATTCCAGAATCCAGGTACGACTGCTGCTGCCAGTGACTGACAGCCGCCTTCCTGTCCGGCTCCATGGCCATGTCCAGCTCCATCAAGTCAGCTGCAGAGCGAAACCATATTCCCTATTAGGACACTGAAAGTGCTACCTTAATTAAAAAAATAAAACCAGTGATCTGACCCAATGAACATTTTTAGAAAGTCAAATACAAAAGGCAGCCAGGAAAAGCAGTGACAGGAGGCCGCTCAGCGATGGCTCTGCTCTCGGGCTCCGAGCGTTACTCACTCAGCGTGGAGGGGGCATGCGGCCGGGCTCCAGGCAGTCATCCACACTAGACTCCTGCCGGTGGCTTGTTTGCTATTTCACCAAGCCATGAGAAGTGAGCGGAAAATGGAGCAAAGGGCAGCCTGACAAGTAAGCAGGGAGAGAGGAAAGCAGGGGGGTCTGAGCCAGACAGGGGAATGGCAGTGAAGCAGAGCCCCATCATAACTGAAGCTGGAGGACACGAACCTTGAGTAGCCATTGTCCACGAGGGCTTTCAGAGCAGCTGAGCACTGTACTTCAGATACCCTGGAAGAGGTCAATGGGAAGTCAGTGGGATTTCAACCTCGCGTGACAGATTCCGAAGTCACCAGGGTGCCCTCAGGCTATACTCACGAAGCAGCCTGGCTTCTGCAGGATAGTGAGACACAGACCCCACCGCAGTCTCCAGAAGCCCCACCCACAACTCCATACTGCTGAGAGTTGAGCCTCCTTCTCAGCAGGAGGAAATATGAACTACAGATACTCAGAATGTTATGAGAAAGCAAAAAAGCTCTAATAATGAAAGCCAGGGAAGGGAAAAATTATTAGAAAACCAACTGCTCTGTGAATTCTAAAGGCCTCTTCTTTCAAATGTCTTACTGAAAAAATACGTATATTCCATTTGGACAGCAGCCCAGGGGGATTTTAAAAGCACCACACTTTCATTAAGCCAGCCAGTTGTTTTCTTTTCAGATATAATGCAGTGCCATCCTAAATACTTTCATAAAGCAGATTTGGTGACTGATCAGAAGAGCAGTTTTCTTCCCTCCAGTACCAGGGATTGAACTCAGGACCCAGTGCTTGCCAGGCAGGCACTGGCACCACTGAGCTACATCCCCAGCCCAGAAGAGCAATTTTTAAGAGTTTTTACTGAGACCTAATGTTACTTTTCAAGTGAAATTTTGCAACACAAATCAAAATACTTCTATTAATAAAAATTTTCTGAGTTTATATCTATAGCGATATAGATAATATATAAGCATCACCAACTGAGATGCTAATATGATCACTAGAAACGTAATTATCTTGTATAGCATGCAAATTGTGTCTATGTTTTGGCTTCATTATACAATATTTGTGAAAGAGGAAATTTTACAGGAACTGCACCTGAAAATAGGATGTGAAGACTCGGAATAGGGTTGTGAGCTGAGTTTTCTATTAATGCACAAATGTTTAGCCAAGATGGAAACTGCATGCTAGTGTCCTATTTTCTACACATAAAGGAAGCACACCGATTATTCCTGAAATCGCTCTTCTACTACCGCTTTTGTAATCACAAAGATCATCCTACTTAAAAGCTGAGTTGAGGATCACTGTGTCAAGGTCCACAGCAGAAACAAACATGTAAGAAAGGAGAAGGCTGCAGTAGAGGTGACTTGTCCAAGCACGATGATGCGTGTCAGGACCTCAGAGGACCTGTGTGGGCTCAGGAACGCCCGTGCACAGTGGACATGCTGGGTGTCTGAGTGCACACACTCTAGGCAGTGCCTGCTGCATGGCACCACCTTCTCTGCAGATGCTGCTCTTGGCCACAGACCTTTCGTCCAGCCCTGTGCCGGCTCGTTAACCATCGCCCACACCTGCTGCCAGGTGGCTCCCCACATATTCTGGGGAAAGGAGACCAAAGTGTGTTCCACACTGAGCTCCTCCTTTGGGCAATGCCACAGGCAAAGATACCAAAGAGCAGCCATGGCTGCGGGTCATAATATGTCTGGCTGTAAGGAAAAAAACACAGTACTATCTCCTTGTTGATGCAAAGACGAAGTATTTTCGCTACAGTGCAAAGTAAAATCTGAGGGCTAAGCTGATAACCTGAACATGTTTTAAAATGATTTTACAGAAAAAAAGTTTATGCTTCAAATTTACAAATATCCATTTGTATGCTGGCAACTTCACAACATTTAAAATTTGTCCTTGCAATCCTGAGGCTGGTCAACATAAACAGTAAGAGTAGTAAAGACCAGGGATCTACACAGGCAACAGTAGAATCACCTCGCACTGTCGTGCAGACAGACCCAAATACACATAAATCTGAATGGTATTCACCTAAGACACTGCAGAGACTGTCCAGAGAGAGAGCGAGGGGAGACCAAGGCCCCAAAAGACATAGTCCCCATCTCCCCCCACCCAGTCTCAACATGCCCTGCCAGTCACTATGGCCCAACACCAGGTCTCACAATCTCCCCTGGAAAACTTCCTACACAAAAGGAAAAACTCTCGAAACACCAACAGAAAACTGACTCCATGGAAACAGACAAGATATTAAAAAGGGGTAGAGTAGGAAGAGAAAGAAACGAGTATCACCATAAAGATCAGAGAAGAAAAATAAAAAGTTCAATAGAAACCAAACTGAGGTAACTCCATTAGACTACAAAGGGGAAAGACAAAGACCAAAAAAAAAAACAAAAACAAAAAAAAAACCCCAACTTTTGGGTAGTCTGAATGCTTAACTTTTTCCCCTTTTTTGGCTATATACAGCTGGTTAGCTTGAGAGATTTCTCATGTACCATTTATGATTTTTATGGTATACAGGTATACACAGCCTATCAGAAGCCCATTAAAGCAGCACAGTAGGCCAAACGGACATTTGGAGGAATAAAGTTACTATTTAAAATAATTAATTGTGGCTCTATCTTTGCATTTACTAGTCTACAGGAGCCTCACCAATGTGGAACTCACACAATCTTTGGACAACGACACCACCCTAAATAGCATTAGTCTCGGGGGGTTAAAACAGTCCTTCACCTTGTCTCCAGTATTACAAAAAGCACTTATTCCAGGCTGCAGCTGCTTATTAGTATATGCAACCAAACAGACATGAGACTCAGCAACAAAGCAATCTCAAGCATGTGCTGAACAGGAACAGGCTTCGTCTGCACACACATTTTCGTAATTACTAAGATGTAAGTTATACCAAGTAAAATGTTTTCTTTGGTTTATACAGTGCAGGGCTGCAGAAGCCATGTAACCAGCTGCCCCACTGTGAGGCAGCCTGCTGGGTAGCAAGGGAAAGATAGCAAGCGTAGCTCCAACCCCTCACTGGTTTGGTTTTGATTTAAAAAAACGAAAATAATAATCAAATATGACAAAACTACAAAATGTTAAACTGGGAAATGAGTCCATGGGTGCTTTTTTATTATTACATTATTCTCTATATATTTTATTTAGCAAAAATAACAATGAAAGAAAATTGCTCTATCATCACTATTTCAGATAAAATCCAAACAAGACTTTAAGGTAAAAACCTCTGTATTTGAATCTTTTAAAACAAAATGGCACTATCAGAAAGAAGCAGTAGTATTTCACAGACATTTCTGGTGAATCAGCTAAGCTTTGCTAATTCAAGTCTCTAGTGCGAAGATAAACTATTCCCCTACCCTCGAGAAAGCAGCAGTTCTCAACATCTAAGCTGGTTGGCTACAAGTCTACTGGGAAAGTCTGTTTCTGTTACATCTTGGAACTGAAAATTCTGATTCTAAAGTTCACAAAATGGTTTTAAACTTTTATTAAAATTTAAGTGGTTACACTTTACAGCAACAAAACAAGATGTATGCAGGAATAAATGGAGAGAGATCTGGTTTCTGACTAGAAATACTTTGTACTGTATGGAGATGTCCCTGTTCTCTAAGTTTTACAAATTTAACACACTCCCAACAAAACCCAAGTCAAATTTCTTTAGGACTGAAACATTATTCTCAAATTCTTTTGGAAGGGAAGGGTAAGAATAAAGAAATCCTGAAATATCTGTGAGAAAGGACTAGTTCTACTCTGATACTAAGTAACATAATCTAATGCCACAGCAATTAAAGTACTGTACTTTTAGGAGACGGACAGATAAGACTACATAGTAAGACAGAACAATAACCTAGATAGTACACAAAGATGAGACAAATACATTTAAACTATATTGCTGAGAAAGGTTAAGAAATAAAGGGTTCAAACAAAAAAGTGAGCAGCAATATTTAGAAAGATATTTAAACCCATTACCTTTTGCTTATCAGACTGCCAATGAGTGAAAAGTGGTAATAACCATAACTGAGGATTCTATTAAACTGGCAGGAACTTTCTCGTGGGCAAGGTGGTAGCATCACTAAATATAAGATAGTGCCTGGGATTTAGCTCAGTGATTCCGCTGCCTGCCTCCCAAGTGCAAGGTCCAGAGTTCAATCCCCAATACCAAAAAGAAAGAAAGAAAGAAAGAAAAGATAAACACCTTGTAACAAAATGAGTCAATTTTTTTGTTAACAGAAATGTATTCTGCAGGAATATTCATAGACTTACTACTGTAAGATCAGTACAGTGAAATTTTTGAGAGAGAAAAATGTGGAAATTACCCAAGTGCTCATCGACAAAGGTCTGAATAAATCATTCCATAGAATACATTTTGTATTAGTACATTTTATTATCAGCTTTGCCAAAACACGGGAAGAATCACAGTCATATGTCCAGTAAGGTTTTTACTTTTAGAGAACTGAGCAGAAAAAACAAGACAACTCAAGATAACAGGAACTGCTCTAAAGGGAACATAGGGCAGAGGAGTACTTGCTGCTTCAGCTAGGAGTGGTAGCCAGGGGCCCTGGGCCCATCTCTCTCCAGGTGGATGAGGCGGGAGACTCCAAGAGTGCAGAGGAAGGCCTCCGCTTAGTGAAGGTCACCAGTTTAACTACAAGGGCCGGGACAAGAAGAGGCAGGGACCAGGCTCTCTAAGGACGTACAGTAAAACCTAATGTATCCCGGGAAGCCTCTGAAGCAACAGGATCTTGAAGACTTCCAGAGGCCACTGCCCTTCAGGATGGGTGTAACTCAGTGGTGCTTGTGTGCTGCTAGGAGCAGGGCCCCAGTCCCGCCCTACCCCAGTGTCCACTCTAGAACTGCGGGGTGGGGAAACAGGGGAGGCCATAAGGTAAGGGCAAAGCGAAGCAGGGAGTCCAGATAGAGGTCACTTTAGTCCAGCTGAGAGGGATGGCAGGCTGCTGTGTGGCCACTAAAGGAATGAAAAATTATGCAGGAAAAATGTTCAACACAAATCAAAGCATGGAAACACACAGGCTTTGTATATGTTTGCAGAATATTACTGAGAATAAATATTACTGAGAATACTATCTGTCCAAGAAGATAACTTGTATCATTCAGTCCTAATTACATATTGACCAAATACTTAAATACAGCATTAGGGAAATGTTTTCTAAGCAAAAAAGAAAAGCACCCTACAAAACAGGCTCTGGGAAAAAGATATGAAACTACTCAGTCAACTATCTTCCCTTAAAGGTTAA